CACAGAAAGGGTTAGCTGGGGTGTCCATCCCCTCCTTCTGCTGTCAAGGAAGGAGGGCCAGGTGGTGTACACACCACCACCATCCACCTGGTCTGATCGTCTCCTTGTGCTGCTTCACATCTTAGAAGAATGTCAGCCTGAGCACGAAGAAGTTGTGGGTTAGGTAACCTGTCTGCCTGGCTTTCTCTGCCACATGGCAGGAACACACGAGGGGGAGGGCAGGAAATAATCAGCCATTCAGATGAATTCACCTACAGAGTTGAGTCAGACTCCCATGTGCTGCCAGCACAAAAATAGCTGCCATCTTTGGATTTTGCAGCTTCATGTAATTCAGCCTGGCTAAAGGAAACAGCTGGCTTTGCTTTGCTACCAACTGGATCAGAATTGTTCTCAAAACAACCTTCAGCAGACTTCTATATACCTGTAACTGCAAAGAGATATGCCTGGCATGCTACACTGATTCTTCCCCACACTAATCCCCACACCTCTGTAACAGCAGTCGGGACAAAGGAGCTGGGATCACTGAGAGGAAACAACAGCATGCCAAACACTCTGTGCCTCGTTCAGTATTTCTTCGACTTTGTGTTACTGGATTACTTTCTTAAGTACTCAGGGGACACAAACAGCAAAGAACAGCTTTCCTTGGCAAAGTCAGGCAGTTTCTCACACTCTGCTGTTTTCCATGGCTCATCCAGCAAATTGTACACCAAGCCTAAACAAACAGCAAGGAACAAGTCCATCCAAGAGAGGCTGACTGCAGCAGATTTCACAAGCCCTTGTGCTGGCAGCCAAGCTCTGGGCTGTGAGCGGGTAGGAAGTGCCCCACGCCTGGGAGACAGCAGTGCTGAGACTCCTGGTGTGACCAGCAACCCATGCAAGGGTTTCACTTCTTGGCAGCTCCCCCTAAACCACCTACATGCAGTGAGGAGGGACAGTGAGCATGATTTGACTTTTAGTATTAACCAGGGCTTGCAGACTTTTGGACTCGATCACAGTCCAGCAACATGGATGGGCTCCCAGTTTTTCTGTGTGCTTAGCAGTGTTGTCTCTTGCGTCCTCTTGCCACCAGAAGGCTCTGCCTAGAACAGCACCATTTTTCAGCTCTTGCAGTCCCAAAGCAAAGCACAGTATATGCTAATACGTTCCTTGCTAGTGAAACACTGCCTTATGCAGTACCACTCCCCGATGCGTGACATCCATGCTGTCACTGGGTTGATTTCAGGCCTGCAATCAGTATTTGTTGACGCCCACAATTGTTTGACGCCCACAAACCCGCACATGCAGTCAGGCAGGCAGGCCAGATGTAGTCCCACACCCTTGGCAATCCCGATGGTGTGCAGACAACGCCAAGAAGCTCGCTCAGCAGGTTAACCTACATGAAGCGGCCATCCTGTTCCAAACCAGAGGGGCAATAAGAAGCCCCGTTAGCTCCTGGACCTGCAGCACAACTCCAGGCCCTCCTGCTGCTCTCCCCATGCCCAGGCCAGCACAGGGCAGCAGGTCCCAGGCTCAGCCCTGTCACCCGAGCTGGGCTGCTGTGGTGGCACATGCCTGGGGGGCAGCTCACAAGGAAGGAAGCCTTTCCTGCCCCGCTGGATTTCAGCCTCGTGCTCGGCCATAAGTGCAGCTCCAGGCCTCCAGACACAACCCACAGCTGCACTCAGTCTCCCTGCGCATCGCCGGGGCCCTCCTCAGCCCGCCAACCCCGGCCCGCAGCCTACGCCCGTCCCCGCGCACTACCGCCAGGGGGCGCAGCCTCCCCGCCTTCCCCCGCGGAGTGCCGCACCGCGCACGCGCGCCGTCCTCCTCCCGCCTTCCGCCACGTGAGCCGGGCGTCTCTCTACTCCCTCCCCCCGTCACGTGATAAAGACCGCGCGGCGCTTGCAGGAAGTGCGCTGTCGCGAGAAGACCGGAAGCAGCGCGGACTTCCGGCGCGGTTCTCAAGATGTCGATCGAGATCGAGTCTTCCGAGTGAGTGTGTGGCGGCGGCGCGGGGCCGGGGTGGGGCGGTCGGGCCGTGCCGTGCCGTGCTGTGCTTCGGAGCGGTGTCAGGGTGGGAGGTGGCCGCTGGGATCCCCTCACCGCTGCGGCTGTGGGGCGGGGCGTGGCCTTGCTGTGAGCCGGGCTGTACTCCGCAGTGTGATCCGGCTGATCATGCAGTACCTGAAAGAGAACAGCCTGCACCGGGCCCTCGCCACCCTGCAGGAAGAGACGACCGTGTCCCTCAACACCGTGGACAGCATCGAGAGCTTCGTGGCCGACATCAACAGTGGGCACTGGGACACGGTGCTGCAGGCCATACAGTCCCTGAAGCTGCCCGACAAGACCCTCATCGACCTCTACGAGCAGGTGGGCAGCACGAGCAGCGTGCAGCTTTCTCTAGGCCTCCTCTGCTTTACACGTGCTCTCTTATAGAACCTTTTATCGGCACTTCTGAGCTGGGAGGGACTCACAGGCTCACAGACTCGCAGAGTCCAACCTCTGGCTCCACACAGAATCACAGAATGGCCAGGGTTGGAAGGGACCTCAAGGATCATGAAGCTCCAGCCCCCTGCCACATGCAGGGCCATCAACCTCCCCATTTCACAGCAGCCCAGGCTGCCCAGGGCCCCATCCAACCTGGCCTCCAACACCTCCAGGGATGGACGGGGCATCACAGCCTCTCTGGGCAGCTGTTCCAGCACCTCACCACTCTCATAACAAAGAGCTTAGACCACACAGAACCACCTGAAAAACAAACCGTGCATCTGAGCATTGTGAGGATGTTCCTTTAGTTCCAGCGGCTTGTGGCTGTGCCTGCTGCCCTGGGGAGCCCATTCCATGCTCTCTGACCTCTGGGGAAGAATGTTTTCCTAACCCCAACTCTCCCCTCCCTGGTGGTTCATCTTTGCTGATGCAGATGCTAATCCCTTGTTGCAGGTTGTGCTGGAGCTGATTGAGCTCCGGGAGCTGGGTGCTGCCAGGTCTCTCCTCAGGCAGACAGATCCCATGATCATGCTGAAGCAGACTCAGCCAGAGCGGTACATTCACCTTGAAAACCTTCTGGCCAGATCTTACTTTGATCCTCGTGAGGTAGGTTATGCTCTTCCCATGTACTCTGCAATGTTAAGCTGTCTTGCTTGACTCCCAGCATTGCTCCAAAGTGTTAAGGGCTTACAGCATATTTTCTTTTACATTCTGGGAGTAAAAACATGCATGTTCACAGTTCCAGGTGTTTTATGAAGTGTGTAGAACTGATGTGTAATTCTTGATCACAGGGCAGCAGAACAGTGAAATGTTTTGCTGGTGCAAATTCAGGATTTGTTCCGCTGTCCTGCCACAGAGTGATGCTGTGTTCTTCATTTGATACCTCCCTTATCTTACAGATGTGAAGAAAATGTTTTGTAAACGAAACTAATGTTGCACAGTAATAATAGTAGTAGGAAGAAATGACCTCTGATTGTGTAAATCTGATGTTCTTAGTGAAAGAAAACCTTAAGTGTTTGAAGGACTGGAAATAGAGACGGGGGCTGCTTGAAAATGTATTCAGTTTGGAGCAATGAAGTTTTGTATGCAAAATAGTTAGGAGGAATCACTTCATAGAGATGACTTCTCTTTAGGCATATCCTGATGGAAGCAGCAAAGAAAAGCGGAGAGCTGCTATTGCACAGGCTTTGGCTGGAGAGGTCAGCGTGGTGCCTCCATCTCGTCTGATGGCGCTGTTGGGGCAGGTAACTGGGGAAAAATCACGGTGTCAGTTTCTGTAGATCTTTGTCTTGTAAGATGAAATATGGTATAGTTCATCTTTCAACTCCACGGAAACAGAGCTCAAGTGTTGCGTGTTTACATGTAGCTGAAAATGGTCTTTTCTCCAGGGATTTGGTAGTTGCAGCAAATGTTAGCCCTCTGAATCTGTGTAGTGGATTTCTCCTCGTAAATACTCAATGCATAGAGATTATTTTCAAAATAAGCATTACAACACACCATTTTGCAGTTGTACTTAGGATACCTTTTGATTTTCAGATTACGCTTGTTTATGTAGACAATTTTTCATGTATTTTGTTGTTTTGTGGCTTATCTCATAACTTGTACTGTCAGGCTTAAAAAGAATCTTGCCATAATTAACGTGGCCTGGCTTTTGAATTTAATCCAGGCTGTTTCAGGCAGATGAGCAGCAGGTCAGGTAGTTTACGCCAGTAGGAGATCAGGCTCACCACACTCTGTACACACTGTGTCATGCTTACCAAAGGGAGAATGAAAAGGGGGCTCATCAGGTCATTCACGCTGTTCCCTTCTTATTGTGGCTATAATTTAGGAAGCATAATCTAAATCTGGTTTGCTCTTGAGTTGAACTCACTGTTTAAAAAATAAAAAAAAAAAAAAAAAAGCTTTGAGGAGGAAGGTGTTTATTAACTGACAGAGTGGGTTTTGTTTTCAACTCCTGAAAAGGCACTGAAGTGGCAACAGCATCAGGGCCTGCTTCCTCCTGGGATGACAATCGACTTGTTCAGAGGCAAAGCAGCTGTGAAAGATGTGGAAGAAGAGAAGTTCCCCACACAGCTGAGCAGACATATTAAGGTGATTTTTGTTTACTTTGTGTATCCCTGTTCACTTGTGTCATCGCTCCTGCTTCCTTCCTATGCTTTATGTTTGGAGCTACAGATTCTCTGAATTTGTCTGTTCTTTATTGCCAGTAACCTTTACCTCTTTCCCTCTCTTCTTGTTCTCTGCGCCTTCTTTCATCAAAGAAACAGAGGCTTTCCTTAACAAAGCCTGAAATAAGGTGCCTTGACAAGATCAGGTGCTCATGGGACTTGTGAATGTGGTTGAAGCATTTAATATTCCTTTGACTTCACCGTAAAGAATCTTTAGGAGTTGGTTTTATTTGTCCTCTTGCTTGTTTCTGGATAGAGTTACTGTCGCTTTAAGCTAATGTGTGTGCACAGCATTTCTGAGGAACGCTGAAGTTTTGATGGTGGACTTGTCAGCTGATGTAATCAGTATCTGTTTTGCCCATTTTGTAAGAATTCAGCCGTGTAGATTCCAGAAGAGGAAGAAAGCTGTGCTGTGGTGACGCTGTGGTGCTGCAGCTCTCATGGTGTGGAACAGGCAGTTTTGTTATGTGGAGGCCTTTGAAATTTACCTAGCAGTCAGTCCTGTGCAGTAAGAAATTTCAGCTCAGTTTGGTAGCTCTACTGGTTTTCACAGTGATCAGAAGATACCGTGTTTCAGAAGTGTGATTTTGTGACATTTATTTCTCGTGTTCAGTGGCAGCTTGGTAATGCTGCGTTGGAATTTGTTCTGTTTTCCAGTGCTTATCTTGGATTTATGTATTGGCTAGTGAAAACGTTTTGTTATACTTATTGACCATCATCACTTCTGTTTCTTTTTCTGCTGAAAAACAAAAAAAACATCAAACGCTCTGTGAAAATGTCCCTAGAGAAGCAATGATTCCCAGTGATGTAACTTGCAATACATCAGGATTTCTGGAATCTGCTGATAGGTACCAAGTGCTGAGAAGGTATTTGTTAACATTCACAGTTCGCTGAAGAAAAGCTAACCAAAATTGCTGTTTTTGTCAGTATGTAGTGCTTGGCTTAAGCTTAGCAGCCAGTACCAGGTGAATATATGTATCCAAAAAGACCTTGTACCTGAATATTAAGTGTGTGACTGCACATCTGTAGGCAACACTGGAATTTATGGCCAAAAGGAGGTTGTGATTTTCTTTTATTGTGAATCGCTTGTTGTCATTTAGGTTGCTTATCAGGCTTAATTTCTGTTCTTGTATAAAACAGTTTGGGCAGAAGTCCCACGTGGAGTGTGCTCGGTTTTCACCTGACGGCCAGTATCTGGTCACTGGCTCTGTGGATGGTTTCATTGAAGTGTGGAACTTCACCACTGGGAAGATTCGGAAGGTACGTTTGTTCTGTGGGCAGCTCAGGAGCTGGAGCTGGTAGCCTGCATGCTTTTGTTGGCTTCTGTGAGGCCGTGAAGGATGCCTGCTTGGTGCTCTGTGTTGGCCTGGGATCCTGACATTGATTTAATTCTCCCTTGTCGCTAACTTCCTTCTGTGATGACACTTTTTTCTCCTTTCCAAGTATTTGTTGTTGCCCCTAAAATGGTGACAGCAGCATTTTCTGGTCTTTCTAAGACTGTGAGGTTTGATAAGCTATAAAATGTAGCTGGAGTTGAGGCTATCAGCATGTTACAAAGTGCTAATAGTTATGAGCGTAAAACTTTGTTTAACTTGCTGTTGATTGGTGGATCTTCTGCTTTCTTTTAGGATCTGAAATACCAGGCACAAGATAATTTTATGATGATGGACGATGCAGTGTTGTGCATGTGCTTCAGCAGGGATACAGAAATGCTGGCAACTGGAGCACAGGATGGAAAGATCAAGGTAGGAGTCCTTCCTGAGGAACTTTCTCAGGGCTGGTGAAAGACTCATTTGGCATGGTGAAATAATGTTGCAGTTGTGCGTGAATACAGAGGCACAGCCACACATTGGCTCTGACACACTGGCTTTGCTGATCGAGGTATGAAGTAACCCCTCTTGTTTCTTTCCTTTGCAGGTGTGGAAAATCCAGAGCGGTCAGTGCCTGCGGAGGTTTGAACGAGCCCACAGTAAAGGTGTTACATGCCTGAGTTTTTCTAAGGACAGCAGCCAAATTCTTAGTGCTTCTTTTGATCAGACAATCAGGTAACATGAGAAAACGTGAGTTGTAATGCAGGGGAAAATGGTGTTGGCATGAATTGGTTAAACCTTGATTTGTGTTTCATAGAGTTTAGATGCGGATAGGAGAGCTGAGTTCTGTGGGTTGGAGAGGGGCAGTTTGAAAGTCTGGTCTTTCACCGTGCTGAACAGCTTTATTCCAGCTGCAGGGACACAGTGCTTCCTTACCTCTGCTGCTGCTTAGATCAACTTCAAATGTTTTATTTCCCATGAGATTCCCAACTTAAAGACAGATGTCAACCTTCAGAAGTAACGTTTCCTGTAACAAACTTAAGGACGGTAAGAAGGACCCATGTCTAATAGGACAGGAACATTTCTTGAAAAGGCCTTAAACAGCTCAGTTGCAAACACTCATTGCCTTCAGTAGGTGATATGACATTACTTCATTCCATCCAGCATGTTTGGTTGTTTTTTTTTTTCTGCAGCAGAACAATGGGCTCTTCTTTTTATTCTATCTATTATAAATTCTCTGCGTTTTTAAGATTTTTGCTGCATCTTCTCTGCTTCTCCTGATAGTGGCTGAGTGCAGTAGAACTTCCCCAAGTTCACATCCCTAAATCCACCCCCCTATTCCTCTTGGGTCAAGAGTGCTCTCAGAGGGGGGAACAAGAACAAGGACCCAAAGAACGTGTTTTCTGGGCATTGGTTCTTCCCAGCATTCTGACAGGGAATAGCAGAGACCTGGTGCTCTAAGTCAGCCAGGTTGATGCACTTGCAGAGCTTCAAGGACAGGACTTGCCACATGTTTCAGGAGATGCCAGTACAGCTAGCCCCTCCAGTGCTTTAGGGTGCTCACTTTTGATCTGAGTATCTCTTCAAGTGCACATAACATGCAGAGACAGGTTGGTAACTGGGTCTGATTGACCCACAAAACAGAAAGCTGAAAGAGGTGTCTCATTGGCTCATCTAGAACTTGTCATGGGAAAGATGGCACCAGCCTTTTCTCAGAAGTACATGGCTCTTAGGAGGAACAAGTTCCAGAAAAGGAAATTCTGACAGTTTATAAGTTTACTACTTTTTTTTTTTTGCCTTGAAGTTAACACTTGGACTGTGGAGAAAGTTGGATGAGGTTGAGGGATTTCAACCCTTGAAGACTTTCAAACTCAAATTGGATTTGAGTGACCTGACTGGACTTGGAAGCTGTTGCATTGAAGAGAGCATTGGAGTATGTGTTATGTCAGGTTCCTCCCAGCCGAATCACCGTGTGATTCTGTGACATGTGTGGCTCCTCTCAGAAATCACTTGCTCCAGCCCTCTCTGCACTGGATTCTCCAGCACGTCCATCTCTTCTCTTGTAGCAGAGGCCCCAAACTGGACATCACACTCCAGAGATGGCCTCACCTTTTCCATGTAGAAGAGAGCCCTGGTCTTCAGACTGGGCATTGCCTCATGCATGCTGCGGTGTGGTTGGGTTCCCCATTGCCACAGCATTCTGCTGGCTTTCAGTGTGTTCTTCACAAGGACTGCCAGGTCCTCTTCCGAAGATTTCTGCCACCAGTTAGTTCTTGTTTCATTCTGAAGCATGAGGTCGTGCTGCTCTTTGCATTTATCAGGTCTCAGCATCATAGAGTTTTTCACACCCCATCTGTCCATCTTGCCAAGGGTTCCAGCTTTCTTATCTGTGCCTTTCTAAACTGAGCTATTTGTAGTATGAATTTGATTGATCCAGTGCCTAACAACTTCATGTGATTATTTTTAATTGAACGAGATTACATAACCTTAGCCTTAGCCTCTTGTTTGTGCTGCAAGCAGTAAAGGTACTGTTGTAAATGAGATGAAAATGAGGGCACTGCTAAAGATCTGAAAGCAACTGCACAGTGAACAGGCATTACAAAATAGCTCACTGGGAGCTGTCAGTCCATACAAGTCGCAGTACAGATGAACCATAGCATAGGCAGGCAAATGGTGAAGTTGCACAGCAGAAAAAAAAAAAGAAAAAGAGATTATGGGAAGAGATTTCAAACGAAAAATGCTGGTATAAAGAGATACTTTTCACAGAAAGGTTTTGGTTGGTGCTCTTTTATTTTCCGTGTGTCACACAGTACTGGTGGAAGTGTGCAGTGAACATTTCTATTTGTGGAGACTGTCTTATCTCCACTGGAAGAAGCCTTTCCAAAGCCCTAAGCAAGATGGTATCACTTAACAGTCAGCTTTACTGCAAGGAACCTGCTGAACAAGAGACCCTCAGAGGTCAATCCACACTTGAATTATCAGTGCTTCCTTTGGTGGCACAGTGAAGGGAAGTCAGTGCTTACCCCTTTAAAGTTTTTGTTTGGCAGATTCATAACTTCTCTCTTGTAGTCTTGCCTTCTAAAATATATTACATATGAGTCCTTGAAGTTGAAAAGCAATGGCTTTTCTCAAAGGTTTTTAGTGGAGCACACAGCATCTTTGAAAGGGATTTGTGGTTAAAAAAAAAAACAGTTTGGAGATTTTTGGCACTTCTTATTGCTGCCTGTCAAACGTAGCTCGGATTTGAAGTGCTGTGGTGATTCAGACTACTTCAGTTGCTCACTCACATCTGACTTCTGTTGCATGACAGGATTCATGGTTTAAAATCTGGCAAAACTTTAAAAGAATTCCGTGGTCATTCCTCCTTCGTCAATGAAGCCACCTTTACCCAGGATGGTCACTATATTATCAGCGCGTCCTCTGATGGCACAGTGAAGGTAAGGTGGTGCTCACCCTTCTTTAGAATGCACCTTTGCTGTAAAGTGCTGCAAATGAGATCTGGTAATGGTCTGTGGTCTCCTCAGTCTGCTGCATCCCTTCCCACGTGCCTGTGGAAGCAGGACGTCAGTGCGTGGTTTGCCACTGGCTTCTGCTGCTTCTGGAAGCAGAACTGGGAATGGAGCTTCTGTTCCGAACACGTGGGGATTTCTCTGTCTGAAACAAGGGCATTTTCTTGAGTACCTGTTGGTTTATTGGTGCTTAGGAGTCCTCTGCTGTATGTATGAGCTGGATAGCCTCATGTTAATGGCACTGATGGCTGAAATGATACGTTTGGCTTTTGGTCCCCAGCTAAGAGTGGAACAGTTGTAATAGTTACAAGTAGTAAAGCACTGTTGTGTACAGTGTCCTACTGACTGTAAGAAAAAATAAATAAAAACTACAGAAGCAGCTGTGCTGTGTGGGACCTTGGTGCAGTGCAGCTGTGGGGGTAAGGAGACAGAGGTGGTTTATAGATGGGAGTGGATGGAAGGAGTGTGATGGATCTTGTTTGTATTCACTGGAGTCTTAATTTTGAATTTGTCCTATTTGCCAGTCTGCCCCAGTAGTGCAGTAGCTGTCTTCCAGTTTGGTTACACTAGCATGTAAACTATACACGTATTCCACAGCTGGTGAGTTAAATTTCATTTTAGATGTTGAATAAGCAGTTTTACTTCCTGTTTCTGAATGGCAGGAAAGCCTGCTTTAGTATGTGAAGCAACACATGGACATCACTTACTGTGGTATCAGAGAGGCTTTGCTTTTTCACCATCTTCATGTCTGTCTTGTGTAGGAAGGCTGCATGTGCAGTGGCCACACATATATTTACAGGTGCTAGCTAAAACCAGAAAGCAAGTGTGGACTTGCTTGTAAGGACAGACTCCTTAAAGAAAGGGATCCAGGCTGAATTTGGATAGTAGTAACTCACTTTCAGATCATTCATAGAGAAACTTTTCATGGTGTCCACACTTCAAAATAATTCTTATCATTTTATAATGTGCATCCATCCCTAGTTCCCTTCAGTGGCATTAAAAAATCTGAGTCTAGTACCTCAGCTCCAAAAAGCAATTTTTGTTTACTTTTCTTTGAAGGTAATTAATTTTGTTTTTCACGCTAGGTTTGGAACGTGAAGACGACAGAGTGCTCCAACACCTTCAAGTCCCTTGGCAGCACAGCGGGGACAGACATTACTGTCAACAGTGTCATTCTGCTGCCCAAAAACCCAGAACACTTTGTTGTTTGCAACAGATCAAATACAGTTGTCATTATGAACATGCAGGGTCAGGTATGTGACCTTACTGGTGTCCTTTCAGGTCTGTCGGTCACTCTAAGAACGCCAGCATCCTGGGCAGGGTTTGGACCTGATTTCTCCAATTCACTTTCATGGCAAACTGCTCTTGGCACGGTTAGCAGAATATCTTGACTTGCAGGAAGTGGTTACTGATATGGAGAGAGATGTTTTCTAAATAGACCTAGTACTGCCTAAATGTTTTTGCCTTGAAGATGGTAATTGTGTGCCCCAATCTAATCTTGTGCAATGTTTTGGTCTCTACAGATTGTAAGAAGTTTTAGCTCTGGTAAGAGAGAAGGTGGTGACTTTGTCTGCTGTGCACTCTCTCCTCGTGGTGAATGGATCTACTGTGTCGGTGAAGATTTTGTGCTCTACTGCTTTAGCACAGTCACTGGCAAGCTGGAGAGGACACTGACAGTAAGTTTGTAGCTTGAGCCTCTGCAGAGTTGATGATCTCAATGCTTGTTACCTGTGAGGTCTGCCAGAGGCTTTCTACCAGTTAGTCTTTCCCTTCTAGCAGCCACAACTGCTAGTGACTGCATTCCAGAGTGCTTGACTGCAGAATGTGCTGAGGCTTTGTTTTCTGGAACATTTTTGATCTTAATAGTTCTGAAAATGTTTCTCCCTGGGACAAGAATTAATTGGTGGAAACTGTTAAATAAACTAGAGCAAATGTTAATCTGGGCTCTAGCTGATAGAGAATCTGTCCAAGCTGCTGGAGTTAAAGCTGCCAGGCTTAAATTTGTCTGGGATTACACCAAACAGAGGTGCCGGCTTTGAACATCAGCATTTAACGGGGAGCGTTTCAGTGTAGTGGGTTCCAGCAGGTAGGAGATGAAATTGTCCTTCTGCCAACAAAAATATAATCTCTGTGTCACAAGAGCTGGAAGTTAATGTTGTCAAAGTTCTGGTTTTTTGCTTTTATTGTATGCACAAACTGTTCTGCCCCTCAGTTCAGTTCTCCTCTATTCTAGTTTGAAAATACCTGGCTTGAGTTAATGCTAAAGAAAGGCTCCTGAAGCTTCTTCTCTGCTTCTTCTCTAGGTTCACGAGAAAGATGTCATTGGCATTGCTCATCACCCTCACCAGAACCTGATTGCCACTTACAGTGAAGATGGCCTCCTCAAGCTCTGGAAGCCATAACCTGATCTTACAAGAAGCTCTGAAGCGTGCCTGTTGTTTGCAGGGTGTTGATGTTTGTGCTTTTGCAAGGTCTAAATGCACAGAGCATGATAGTTGCTCAATTTTAGTTCAGTTTTACAGACAAAATTAGCTAGATTTTTGCTAGATAGATCAGTTGATTTGAGATTCTATACTTCTATTTTTACCAGATCAGCTGAAGCAACTTCTGCGTGAATGATTGCTCTGTCTCCTGAAGCGTGAACTCAGGTGCTCTTCATAAACCTGAATGAGCTAGGAATTAAACATACAACAGGCTACCAGAATAGAGGAGAGTACTTTCTTTCACTAAATGATGATATGGGGATAAGAAGGCTTTAAATGATACGGGGATAAGAAGGCTTCCTACTTTCCACTGCTGAAACGAAGGCAGTTTTCCTGGATATAGATAAAACTACCCTGTCCTCTGCTCCAAGACTGAACTTTTGTAGCCCGGCGTGTTTTGCTGTGTTTCATTTTCATTATGCGTAGTCACAAAGCTTCCTCAGAATGAAACAGTTTTTTTTCCCAGTTTCATAGGCTGTCCCTTTATAAAACTGCCTAACGTGGCACTGAAACGTATTTTAATTCCTATTTTGTATCTGTCATTTGTTTTCATTTGCTTCCAGGCTGGAAGGAATTCCCTGGCTGGATACTGTCGTCAGACCAGCTGTAACTGAAACAGGCCTCAGGATCAGTATCTAAAAGAGGCCTTTTTACACAGACCAAGTCCTCAGTGCAGTCATGTTGCACTTATTAACACCTTGAATTTCAGCTTGCCTTCCTCTTTTAAAAAGCCCGTGGCAGACCCAGGTGGGCCTAGTTAGTGGTAACAGTGATACTTAGGTCCCACACTAAGGTGGAATAATCCCACGCTCTTCTTTTGGAACAGGTGATTGTTTGAGATGTCGGCAAACCATTATGAATGTTCACCAGAATCTTACAAAATCTGACAACAGCTCTTACAGGATGCAGCTAAAATAAATGTTTTGTATGTAATGATTGGACAAATGCATGTAGATCCGAATCTGCTGCACCTCCTGTTTTAATTTCTTGTAGAATGCTTTCTTTCAAACAGCAGCAAGTTTTTGTGACTTAATAAATGAGTTCCAAGTTAACCTCACAGTCTTTCTCAGCTGATGGGCATGACCCTGGTGCAAGTACTGACCGTCAGCCAGGGGCAACCTGTTAGCACTGACCTGTGTGTGTGACCAGTATAAAGAAATGCAACATTTTAGCGTGACTTCTCATGCAGCACTGCTTGCTCACTGCAAACCTAGATTTAGTTCTATGTTAGCTGTAATGTTTTATTTCCTAACCTGTTTTTTACTCCCTTAGATATAGCAATAAAGTTATTTTTTAGATAGCAAAAGGTGATTATTTTTTTTTTTGTGCCTGAAAATATACTGGTGTATTGGAAACGTCTGACAATATTTTTATTGTCTGACTTGTTGCTGGCTTCCCTTTCAGGTTACACGGAACTGCTAATCCTCCAATGATTAAATGGTATCTTACACTGTTCTTTGAAAGAAAAGTTGTTGAATCCAACAGAACTGCCTGTCCAAATCCTGAATGTTTAAAGATTTTAAGTACATTTTCAGAGGAAATCTGGGCTTTCTTATGTTTTTTATTTAGAAGTTTTACAGCTTATTGCCTCAACCACCCAGGGCTTAGAAGCAGGAAATAGTGTGCACTGATACTTCTGAAAGGACCATGGCATGACTTACCTCCTTGGCTGTGGCTGTAATATGTACATGAAACTATAATGGTAGTCTTGAAAACACTCCTAATTGCTTCTCAGTGTAATCTTGGAAGAGATTTTATCTCTGGAGAATTAGCCAGGTGTTACATGGTTTTTATCTGAATATAAGATTTCAGGAAGACAACCTTGAATGCTTGCATTAGCATTACAGAAAGCATTGTTTGCTTCTTCACCCAGGGACTTTACTTTTGTTCTTGAACTATTTTACTTAGAATTAGGCAGTTGTGTGATACGTAGGAGGGTGCAGTGTTTTTGGCACTGGGGATACTGTCAAGTTTCACAGGTCAGTTCAGATCTGCTAAATCATAGTGGTTCAATCTTCCCAAAGTGGACATAAGGAATGACTTAAGCAGCAGCTATATTCTCTATTTAGAGGGACTAAATAATCTTCAGAGGTGGCTGCTGGCCTATGTGAATCTAACTCCACGTGCTGCAGAGGATTCTGAACAGTGAGCTCAGGTGAGGTGGCCTGACTGTGATTCTGAGCAGCTTGGTAACAACTGTGTTCAGTCTGAGAGAAGGTGGGACAAAAAAAAATGCTTTCCAGAGACTTAAAGATGAAGGTAAAAATCAGTGATGCATTTTCCTCTTTGCCTACTGTCTATGAACTTAAAGAGTCCTTCTTAAGCATAGCTACTTCAGCTCCAGTTCCTGTTGATGGAACTGTTGGATAGTTGTAAATACACCCTGCGACCTGAATCATGGTAGCTATGAAAGACAGAGCAAGAAGACTCAGATTTGAATGTCCAGGGAGAAAAGTGTAGGCTATATACTGGGTTTCGTAACTAGAAAAGGCATAGCTGGCATGCTGCAGCTCTCTGTGGAGCCAGATACAAGGAGATGGAGTGGCTGAGGTGAAGACAGGATAGTAATTTGCCTGGATCGGGCTGCCCAGCGAAGCTGTGGGTGCCTCCATGCTGGGTAGCGTGGCCTAGTGGGTGCCCATCAGCCCATGGAACTGGATGGGCTTTCAGTTCCCTTCCAACTCATAGTTCTGCAATTCTCTGATCACTTTCCCGGGGATCGAGGTGAGCCTGGCTGGTTAGTAGCATCACGGGTCCTCTTAGTGCCCAGCTTGAAGACAGGACTGCTTTCTTCCAGTCTCCACAGACTTCTCCCAGTTGCCATCATCAGTGAAACTTGGCTGTACAGCCTTGCAGTCACACCTGCCAACTCTTCAGTTGTGCATGCATCTCATCAGGGCACAGGCACGTAGATATCTATAACATTTACATACTCACATAACTAAGTTTACTCAAATATTTACCCTCTTCTACTGAGGGTCCATCTGCCTTAGCTACACATAATCACGCCTGATCTCCAGGACCTGGGCATTCCTGAAGATACGCACTGCTAGTAAAGGGTGGCATTTGTTACGCCAGACTTCTCAGTGTCCGATTCAGGAACCTCCTGATTTTATTACGCCTTGCAGTGCTATCCTCTATTTGAGAACCACAGTACCTCTCTTAAGAAAATATGGAATCTAGAATTTCCTTGTGGTTTTGGAAAAGTGGAACTCTTTGAAGAGGTAGATAACAGCAGGACAAGGGGAAATGGTTTGAAGCTGAGGGAGGGCAGATGGAGGTTGGGTGTCAGGGGGAAGTTGTGTGCTGTGAGAGTGGTGAGGTGCTGGAACAGCTGCCCAGAGAGGCTGTGATGCCCCGTCCATCCCTGGAGGTGTTCAAGGCCACGTTGGATGGGGCCCTGGGCAGCCTGGGCTGCTGTGAAATGGGGAGGTTGGTGGCCCTGCATTGGTGGGGGGTTGGAGATTTGTGATTCTTGAGGTCCTTCCAGCCCTGGCCATTCTGTGATTCTGTGAGCTTATATAATTCCTGCACTGTGCCTTACAAATGAGGCCTTACAAAGCTGTGTCTTACAAGTGAGCAAGAAATCGGGGAAGGGTGGCAGGAG